TCTGCTGGACGAGGAAGGTCACATCTAGTTACACGAGCACGGCTGATCTGTTTACTGCATTTTACTCCCTGGGAAAAACATCCCCTTCTGCTCCAGCTCATGTGATTGCTTAAACCGTGCAGGATGTTCAACCTGGGCATACATTTGCAAAAGTCTTTTTGCCTTCGTAGCTTTTCTGGGTCTTCTTCAAAATCTGCTGCGCTCCGGGTGATTACTCTCGGTCTTTACAAGTTTGCACCTATTCCTTAGGCAGGGTTTTGAGCAGAATGTGCAGCCCTTGCTTAGTCTAGAAGATTTCCTGTTTGCTCCCCTTGTCTGCCCAGTGTAACCTTTCACCGCGCTGTCTAGTCTTTAAGCCTAAAAAACACACGAAGATGGTATCAGGCAGGTGTGACATAATAACCCGTGCAGACGCCTCACCAAAGTCGTGTTGACTTTCGGTCACGAGTCCAAGAGAAGTAGCGTAAATGCAGAGAGAAGCAGTGAAAGGTGAAATGACTTTATCTCCCATGAAGAAATAAATAATTGCAAAAATTTGACGTGGCAGTATTTGGAACAAGTAATCACAAAGGTTTTCCAGAAATGGTGGAAAACTGGATGCTGTCAGAGTACTTAAATGCTTGTATATGCTTGCATATCTATGAATACATATATATATTTCTATAAATGTTTCCACATGTGTGTGTATATATCAGGAACAAGGTGCAAGGCTGAATTGTTTTCAAGACTCTTGGTCATTAACCTGGCACAGATCAGGATTTGGGGGATGAGATCTGAAAGTGGCACCATGGATTTTGCAGACAAATGGAAATATTTGTTCTCAGCCCCAAGTACTTAGGGCTCGGACCCTTTGGTGTGAGGCAGGCTCCAGAACTAAGCCTTGCTGTGTCGTAATTACCAACTTTGGGACACCTATAGCAAAGACTCATTATTGTGTGAATCTAACCCCATGTTATTACTGTTTAGCTACAGTTTTATGAAACACATGATTTGCCACCATGTCATTAGGGTATCAAACAAAGCTCACAGTAAGATTTTTCAAATGCATACAACTTGCTCAGGAGGACTTTGAAACTTCTGATTCATGGCAAATCAATGAGAATTTGATTCCGATATGCAACAGACACTTTTGGAAGTGCTACTTTTCTCCTCAGTTATGTGCTTTTGAAAATACTACCTTGTCTTGGCTTGCTGTTTCAGAAGCAAGTTTCATACAGAGTACTCAAGAAGAAGATTCTCCAGTTTTATGTTAATCCAATCTTTTGATTTCTTTCTTTCCTGTACCAACTATCCCATTTCTTTGATTAGGTGAAATATCTAGATCACTGAAAAGTGAAGACACAGATGACCTCAAAAATGGCTCTCAAAGCTGCTCCATCCCCATTGCTTATGCGTTATCATGGACTGGAGACCATCCACTGAGACACTGCAGCCTCCCAACAGCTCTAATGTTTAATTTGTGATGGAAGGGTTTATGTTTTTCTCAATGTACAGCTAAAGCAGTTGAGCTTTAATGCCACCGGGCTGCCTGGAGTCGTGCCAGGTGCTGCTGGCTGGGCGTGATGCTATCTCCTAATCGTTAACTGGAAAAAAAGGAGAAAAAACGATGTTGTTGAACTCTTGTGGTGGCAAAGTTTTTGCAGTTCAGCTCTGCATCTGTTCATCGGACTTCCTGTGGTTTTTCATCGAATCATATGATTGACAGCTCAGACAGTCTGCAAAGGTTTTGGTCTGTCTAGTTTTCTACCTCTGTCCCAACCACTAAATCTGACTTCTGCTTTGTCTGGCAGAAGAAAACAGGGTAGGTTGCTGTGGTAGGGTGATTCGCCGGAGCTGATAAACGTCTTCTATCTAAAGTCTGCCGTTAATCCTAGCTCTACCTTGGGCTCTGAAGCGTCAAGCAAGCACAGGTCTTGGGGAGGTGTGTTGGAAACTAGCTGGAGGTAGCTCTGCTCAGGCCATGGGAAAAGTGCAAAAAAAAAAAAAAATGGCTCTGCTGGAGCCATTTCCTGCTGCTTTGACTTGCGATTGGGAGAATTTTGTTAGCTGTGGTATTTAGTGGGGAAAAAAAAGGAAAAGGAAAAAAAATACAAAACCAAAAGCATGAACATGTCACTGGTGCTGTCCCCTGTGTTTCCAGGAGGGCTCTGAGGGTCCTGTGACCTGATTGTTTCACAGCTCTGCTGAAACGTTGATGCAGTGTCACCTCCTGCACCTCTGCAGCACCGGCAAGGGCTGCAGTTTGCTTGTTTGGAAGCAGCACGTGCCAAAGGGAAGGGGCACGGAGCTGTGTTTGAACTTGCCTTGACCTACCATATGTCCAAAATCTTAAAGCTTCCTGTCATTGGTGAAACTTTTTGCATGATGTTTAATGCTTGTTGGTCTAAAGTGTTTTAAGGTCAGCCCAGAAAATCCAAAATGTTTTTAGGTGGTTTGAATGTGATGATTTTAAGATTATTCTGTGTCACTCATCTTCGTCTTATCTTTCTCCTTAAAATCCTGTTATCCTTTGTATGTTCCCAACCTGCAACACAATCGAGACCAACACTGAGTGGGATTAAGTCCAAGGTGATTGCAGTGATTGACTATTGTTAATTGGACGTTGATTACTAAATCACTACAGTGTGATCACAAGGCATGGCAACATTGATCAGTCTGGAGAAAAGCATAATAATAAGATCAATACATGGCAGTTATTGCCTGAACATACTGAAGCTGTCTAGCTTATTTAATGCAACCCTTCAGGCAGAGAGATGATGGCATGGTAAGCACAGAGCCACCTCTGATGTAGCCACTGGAATTTCTAATAAAACAAGTTTACTTATTGCTTTAAAGCTAAAGAAGACATTTATTAGGATTCATAAGAGTCCAAAGGGGTCCCGGACTGGTGCCACGAGTGTTTGCAAAACCAGTGGTAATAAGCTACGGCTGGGAAGGTGAAAAAAAGTTATCGGTGTCTAATTCCTCTGCAATTAGCATCTTTAATCATTTTTTTTCCCTTTGGTCTCTGAAGGACTGCTCCATGCTGCAGTACTGGCATGCAGCCACCTTTAGGGTGAAGAATGACAGCTGTGTAAGGGCTTTTCTCTGCTAGGAAGTGTTACAGTGGTTTAGTCGTGAGGTTTAACCATTCATTCTGCTGATGCAAGGCTGAACTGAACACGTTTCTGTCTACACTGACCACAAGTCAGGAAGCATTTAGGAGGGAAGTGGGAAAGATTACACTGCGGATAAGCGAGGTAGGATATCAGTTTAAAGAAAAAATAATACATATATGTATTATATATATGTTATATCTATATATAACACATAAGGTTTGGATTGGGGTGAGGCTGAACTTGCCAAAGGAATTCCAGTGGCCTGAGAGGAGGGCTGGAGTGGCAGGGCGCTAAGGCAGGATGGCTGAGGGTATCAGTGAAGAGGAGGATCTCACAAAGTGGAAAAGTCCTAGCAGGAACCTCAGGATGAGAGGATGAGGAGAGCTGAAGTAAGTGGCAAAATATTTGTGGGAATCTTCAAGGTGCTTTCCCCAGGAGGATCTCCTGAGAAGAAACCCAGTAAGGGCAATGGGGTTGGGGATGTGGTGTGTAAAAGAGAAGCTGCGTAATGAAAGGTGAAATGGGAGGGGAAGAATTTTGCATGTAGGGGTGAAGAAAATGTGGATGGGTGCAAAATAGAAGATGTGATAAAGAGATACCATGGTGATACAGGGATGGAGCTGGGGAAGGCAGTAGATTAGGAGAGGGGAAATTGGAACTGTAGGTGAGTTTGGTGGGGGACTAAGACTGAGGAAGCAAATGATGTGGAAGGTTGAAGAGGTTGGTCAGAACAGACAGGAGGAGAGACGTTGTGGAGGAGAATGGCTTGGGGACACACAAGAGTCATGGGAGAACTTCTGTGCGCCAGACTCAGTGTGTCACACTGAGGAAATGAAACTCGATGAGGCACCCATGAGTGCAAATAGGCTGGGTGTGCAAAAGTTAAGGGAGTTACCCGGAAAACCAAGTGGCCCCCAAGTGCCCCTTGGAAGGATGTCGTACCCCGGAGCACGGAGCATGGTGAATGCGGGAAGGTGATAGGGTTTCCCTCCATTATTAATGGGCAGAGAGGCTTCTCAGCCAGTGCCATGCTTGTTCTGATCATGTCACACCGTCGAGTTTATTCTTAGTCTTAGCCACAGCCTTATAAATAATAAAATGGGCCATGTTTTATCTTACCCTGGTGATCATTGTAATGCAGCTTTTCTTTGAGGCTCTGCCAAGCTCTTGACACAGGCAACATTTAGAAGCAGGCGATATGATTGAATAGCTCGATGTAAAAATAGGTTCAGCTCTGCCCCAAAACACGGACCCAAGCTGCGGAGGAACCTGTAAGCAAAGCTGCAAATAGCATCTCCCAGAACCCACCCACGAGTCTGGCCACGCTTCCATCTTGCTTCCTGAGAAAAGAGCCCTTCTGTCCTGGAAACGTCTATATTGAGAAAGTCAAGGAGAAATAAGAGAAAAAAAAAGAAAAAAAAAGAGTTTGCCATGACGTTGTGCTTTCTTGAAAACACGTTACAAACTGTGTATGTGTTCAGGACCTTTCTAAAGGTCCTCCTGGGAAGCTGAGTGCAATTCACTGCCGAATCCTTTTTAAAGAGGACTGAAATAAGCAGGTCTGTATGTGCACAAGCACGAAGGCTGTAGCAGGGCTGCTGTAAATGAGTTTTCCTTAAAACCTTTGTAAAGGATTCACATTTTCAGTCTGCACTGACAGACAAATTGAGGGTGAATCTGGGAGTAGGAAGTGTGACCAACAGCCGAAGGGCAAAACGCAATGTGCCAGCGTAGCATCTGTCTCAAAGGTGGAGTTATAAATAATCCCTTTATCCTTCATGGTCAATGTTTTCTTGCAAGTCTAACAGTTTGGTTCCTTGCATTATTTTTTTTTTCTCCAGTGTCTGTGTGGGCTGCGTGTTTGCAAACCTCCCCTCAATGGGCTCTTGTTTCTCATTGCAGAAATTTCCTGAGCTGAAGTTCAAGTACGTGGAAGAGGAGCAGCCGGAGGAGTTCTTCATCCCCTACGTCTGGTCCTTGGTTTACAACTCGGCCGTGGCCCTGTACTGGAACCCCCGCGACATCCAGCTCTTCACCGTGGACTCAGGCTGAAGGGGGCCGGACCTGGCCTTGTAGGCCATGTTTGTATTTATAGTCCCCTAACCTCGAGCTTGTTTGATGAAGATGAGGCCTTACACATGGGGTGTGATGTTACTACCCGCCACAGCGCCGACTGTTCCTTCGGCTTCACCAGGGTGGATGAGGAAGGAGACGGGGGGAGCTGTGATTTGGAAGTAGCGTTTGTCTTTTCCTTTCTTCAAAGCGAGGCAGCTTCTTTGGGTCAAGCTCTGCTGGCTCCTGCCCCAGGGCCACTCTTGCTTTGGGTGGCACCATTCCGGCTGCGGTCTCCAAACTGTCCCCCTTGTCATGCCAGCAAGCTAGCAAACAGCTTGTTAACCAAATTAGCTCTGCAGACACATGCAAAACACCCCATTTTGATGCCATGAAGTTGGCGGGAGGGTTTTCAATAGTGAGTCTTTCTTGGTTTGGCAAATACTCTTTAGAGAGCTAGAAGCCCTCATGCTCAGAGCAAAGCCTCTTGCTTTGCTTCACCTCGGGAAGTTGAGCGCATGCACGAATGTCCAAAGAAAATAGGTATGAGATTGTAAAATAGGCCAACGTCCTGTAAAAACGTGTGTCGTGGTGGCAGTGTGTGGTGGGGATCCCCCAGCAAAACGCCGTGTTGAAAATTCCCTGTTTGCGCTTGCAGGGTTTAGGGCAGAAGTGTAAATTTCTCTGAATGTAGAAAACTGTTGTTTTTGGAAGTGTCCTTTTCTGACATACCTGGCTTAAGGCAAATAATCCCCAAACAGTCTCTGCAGTTGTAAGAGCAAAAGAAATGGACTGACCCGATTTTGAGAGAACATTTTCAAAGTCGCTTTTTTTTGTTGTTTTTTTTTGTCCCTGGGGAGGCTCCTGGCCATACTCACCTGCACGAGGACTCGGGCGCTTGTCGTCATCCCAGTGCTGCTGAGTGCAGACCTGTCACCAGCACGTTGCATGCCAAAGCACGGGGATCGGGAAGACCTTTCCTAAGCGTATATGATGAATCCCTATATTCATTGCCTGCCCTAGCATGTCCTGCTTACAGAGCCGAAGCACAGGGTGCACTTGCTTTCAGACAGTCCTGAGTGGCTTTAAATAGAATTATTTGCACTCTTTTTCCCTGAAGGTTATGTTAGACTTGTACTTTTATCTGCTAATTTAAAGGTGGAAATCCATGGAAATGCTAGCTTAGAAGAAAAAAAAAAAAGGAAAAAAAAGCTTTTCCATATTTATTTAAATATGATTGCAAAGAGGCATGCACAGCACCAGAACATTTAGGACTTGGAAATGGCACAAGCTTTGGAGATGGGGCAATAGCAAGAGTGGAGCTGCAGGTTTTTCTCAGTAAAACACGAGAAATGATTGAACCGTGCCCGAGCTGCACATATGTTTGTTCTATCTTTAGGACTTTTTTTCTTTATTTTTTGGCTGCAAGCAAACGACAAAGGGGAACGACTTGTCTTGGTAACTGCAGTGATCTGTAATTTTCTCTTTTCCTCAAAGCCAAGGAGCTTGGGAGTTAACAGAGCTGTGCAGTCTCTGGAAAGCTTGGTCTGAAGATGCACTTTTGCAACCCATAATGCCACCTACCACCCCGCACCTTCAGGAGAAGCTACCCAAAAAAGGGCTCGGATGGAGCGGGTGTTTAGCCCCAGGGTGCCAAACCGGAGTGAACCCAGCTTTCCTCAAAAGGGCTTTTTCTATAGGAAAGGGTTATGCGAAGCAGCAATCTGATAGGATAGGTCAAACCGGCTGCCGGATCCACGCAGGAAACACGCTGCAAATTATTTCTCACCGTCCCCTCGTTCCTGTGATGTCGAAGAGCAGAAGGAACAGGTTTGTTGCAATCGCATAATTTCCTCGTGCGTTTAATTAATAGGAAAGGCTGATGGATCCCGGCTGCTTTGGAACAGCTGGAGCTGCAAGGCAAAGCCAGCCCCAGATCCATGCGGAAGGCACGCGGCTCCGATCAGCCCTTGCAGGTGTTGGAGCGCCGTGGAGCTCCAGCCCTGTCCTGAAGTCTGCAGCGTGGCATGTTCACAAATACCCTGTTTTCCTTCAGATCTGTAAAGTATCACCATAGGATCCTTTTCATTACTTTGTGTGGAAGATTTATTATGCATAATTAAAAAAAAAAGCATTTTAAAGAAGTAAATACAGTCTGCAGTGGTATTTGTTTGACGTAGTAGCTGCGGCGCAGTGATGTTCGGCCAGCTGGTCTGGACACCCGTGTGCACAAGATTTTATACCTTAACAGTGATTTGCAATAAGGAAGACCCACATTTCATTTATTGAGTAGGCAGTGCCTTAAATCTGAGCGTGGGGAAAAAAGGGATGTGTCCTACTGCAATATCATGCTAATTCCCATCTAATAGAAAACTCTTGCCAGCTTGCTCCACTGTTTTCACAGGTGGTCATGACCTTAAAATGGAACTTTTTTTGCAAACTATATTTTTTTTCTTGCTTTTGAGTCAGGTGTCCTCAGCTTGGGTAAAAACAGTCCGAAAATCTTCCAGAGTTGAGGGTATGAAAAATTAAGGCCCTACTAGCCTAAAACAGAAGAGCATGTGAGACAAGCTACAGGAACGGCACACACTATTGTCAACAGGTCTGCTAGATTGTTGATCTACAAGTTAAACAGGAAAGGAAGAAGCAAACATCCCCCCACCCAGTCTGACTATCTGGAAGCTCCGATGTTTTGGGTACGAGCTCGTCGGCTGAGAAGCTGAGGTTATTCTTGCCCGTGTTGTATGATTCGGCTGTCTAAGTGATTAGGTGTAGTCATGGTGGAGTCAACCCCATGATCGACTGTCTCCTGATCAGCTGGTCTCCACTGGCAAAAACCCTGCTAATAGGCTTAAAGAACAGACATTTTTCATGATTTCACTTCTTTAGTTACCTGGACCCTGTAAATCCTTTCTGGTCCTAATCCAACAGGTCCTCAGTTGTCTTAGCCAGCTACCTTTAACAATTTGTATCACAGGGACCCAAATATCTCAAGTGATCTTGCATAAATGCCTATTGCTGTAAACAGCAGGGTCGCAGCCCCATCATTCTGTGTGCTTGACTTGCCATTTTGTTGGGCTGGAGTGTGTTGATGTTTCAATAGACTCTACAAACATTTCCCATTCTTGGTCCATAAGGTAACAGCTGTGCAAGTGATAACTGCAATCACCTGTCTTGGTTGAATTTTCAGATTCGGAGAATAGAAATGTTGGTTCCTGTTGTTACTTTTTACAGATGTGTGTCTTCCCCTCGTCTCTAAATCTATACCATGCTAAAACCTAGATTGGGGTGCGAATCTTCCTAGAACTGTTCCGTTGGGGTGAACTTTCACCAACACTGGGGGCTGCATCAAGGCTTTTTATTTTGGAGGTTCCTCAGGCTAATGTTGTGGTAGATGCTCTATCAAATGTGCCCACGCCCTCAGACTCCAAGAGGGCTCTTTCCCCTTTGACTATAAGACAGATAATCCATAAAATTGTCGTCAGCAGCATGATAAGGGAACCAGTCCATTTTTAACATTTTTAACATGGCAGTGAAATGTCATTTGTCATTTAGACGGGAGGGATATGTTTATCTCCTGCTTGTGCAAGTTGCAATAAATTGATTAGACAGGGCTGTAGGTTCTGCTTGGCTCTGCCAGGCTTCCCTGTGGATCCCAGGGTTTTGGGCTAATTGTTGCTGTGCTTCATGTGAGCAAGGGGGTAGGTGGAAGGAGCATCTGTGTTCACTGTTCAGTCCTGACCATGAAGAGTTGGTAGAGGGCAGCCAGTAGGTCTTATTCTCAAAGAATTCCTAACAGTTTGCTCCAGCTGTGGCTCCTACCAGATGTCTTGGCCATCTTCTAGCAGCACCCACAGTGGCCTTGGCCTCTCAGCACCGTGCAGACATCCCTTGGGACTAAACCCTGCGGGGAACAGCATCCCAGCTCCACAAGGTTGAGTGGGTTATTCCGGATGAGGCTGGTGATTGATTTGGGCATAGCTCGGGGAAGCTTTGCAACCTTCACCTGGGCCGTGGGCATGTACCTGCAGAGCTGCACTTGCATCTTTGCCTTCAGATGCAACAGTCCTCCAGGAGCGTGCGGTACCAGGACCACGTGGTGCTATGGGATGTGAAGGCGATGCTGAAATAGCCCTCTGCTGACCCACTCCTAAGTGGTGAGGACATAAACCAGGGCATCAGGAGCTGCCACATGCCCCCTGTGTGTGTCTACAGGACTTGGCATCCCTTGTCTGCGCTCTCTTCGTGAGCTCCTACGGCTGGAAAGACTTGCAACCGTTCAGGAGCGACACTATTATCAGTACGTTGCTCTTTGAGAGCAGTTACCCTGAATTGCAAGGCTCCAGCATGAGAAGCCTGTGAGCATTTAATCGTAGATGCTGTGTTTTTGCTGGATGGATGCTTCTCATATGTTAGGTCTATATAGCCTCACTGCAAATGAATTATTTCAAGTAGCCATGTTTTAATACCGCAGGCTCTGCTACCACCCACAGATTGTGCCAGCACTTCCATGTACTTAGATAAATGAAAATGTCACTATCAGTGAATCCCTCCAAATTGCAAATCAGCTACACCCCTGAGCTGCCAAACTGGGACAATCTGAATGAGAGATTTTTAAAAATTCAGTGATTTTTTAATGCTGCTGAAGCACACTGCATAATCTTTCATCATCACTTTAAAAACTGTCTTAAAATTAATCCAAAATGAATATGTCTTGGCAGACATGATGAAACACTCAGCTGTACTTCACTTTCGCCAGCTGTCTTGGCAAAGTAAATGGCAGACTTCAGTCTTCCTTGTATCCGTTCTGTGCTGCTGAACACACAAAATCCGATGGCGCTGCAGGAAAAACAGAGGTCTTCGAGTATCCAGAGAGCAACTAAGGTGAAAACAGAGATTCCCCAATACTTCTTGGAAACTAGAGTTGTCCCGGTGCTTGGTGGTACTTCCCAACCGGCCCTGGAAAAATCACCACTAGCTGCAAGCGGTGGTGCCAGCTCAGAAACCTTTCA